GAGGCGCATCTGGGGACCAGCGACCCAGCGGCCCGCTGGGGGACTGGTTCTTTTGTCACGGCCACCGTCTCTCTGGGCTTGGCCCTCTCTGTCTTCCTCCATCCTCAGACAGGCTCCTCTCTCCTCAGAACCAGAGGGCCGAAGTCTCCTCAGGTTCACATGGGCCCAGGTTCGAGGCCAGCCACAAACCACACCTGGCCTCGGTGACCCTTTTTAAAAAGTCTCCTGGCATCTCATTGGCTGTGCCTGGTCACCTGCTTATCCCTAAGCCAATCTCTGCGGCCAGGGCAATGCAGCGTACTGCTCTGATTGGTCAGGCCTGAGCCACAAGCCCACCTCTTGAATTGGGGTGGAGTCAGCTGGAGCCCGGAGTTTGTGTACCGGGTGGGCTGGGGGCTCCTCACAGGCAATGGGGGCGCTGTTTCCAGGTCCTGACCCGGGTCCCGCCTGGAACTCCGCGGGCCCTGGCTGCCGAGTCGCTCTCCTCCTGGACGCTCCTGGGCTTTTTTCACTTTCAGAGCTGGAGCTGAGGGCTTTACATTTTCCTAATTTATTCTCAAAACACCGCCATTGTGCGCTCCCCTGCGAGCACTCTCCGCTTGCGGACCACACGTGGGACAGACGTCTCACCCGCAGCCCGAGGCATCTTCAGAGGCTTCTGTGGGTCCTCACCTTCCTCGGATCCGACACAGAACGGGGGTCGTTGCCCTTTTACAGATTCACCCGGTCTCTGGTTCCTGCACGCCAGCAGCCCGAGAGGAACTGAACCCTGCGGGCAGCCTCCCTCAGGCCGCATGCAAACCCCAAGATGCCTGCGGCCCCCCCCACTGCAGGTTAGGAGAGCAGCCTCGAGGTCGCACCTCAGTCCCTGACCTACAGAAACACCAAGCGCCCCAGGAAACCACTGTCAGGAAAGGGGGACGGTCCTGACCTTGTTCCTGACCTGTAAGGAAATGAATCTCAGATTTCACTGTTCAGGGTGACAGCTTTTTTCTTACAACACATACTGTATTAGTGTTCTACAGAGAAACCATCTAACTGAGAGAGAGATTTATTTTAAGAAATTGGTTCACACAATTGTGGAAGCCTGCAAGTCTATAAATCTGATGGGGTAGGCTGTGGGGCTGGAGACCCGGGGAAGAGCTATCGTCCAGTCCAGAGGCGGTCTGATGGTAGAGCGCCTTCTTGCTTGGGGAAGGGTCGGTCTTTGTTCTAGGAAGGCCTTCAACTGGTGGGGCGAGGCCCACCCAAGTGACTCAGTCTGTTTATTTTTAAGATTTTTATTTACTTATTTGTGTGAGAGAGATCTCCCATCTCCTGGCTCATTCCCCAAAAACTCAAAATGGCCAACAGTGGGCCAGACCATGGCCAGGGCCTGGGAACTCAATCTGGGTCTCCCACGTGAGTGGCAGGGACCCAGCCACTTGAGCCATCAGCTGCTGCCCACCAGGATGGACATTATTAGGAAGCTGGAATCAGCAGTGCAGCCAGGAACTCAAACCCAGGCTCCCAGGATGGGATGCAGGTGTCCAAGCAGCATCTTAACTGTGCCACCACACTCCTGCCCCTCCGTCTAAATTAAATGCTAATCTCTTAAAAAAAAAAAAAAAAAAAAAGCCCACACCTTAACAGAATCAAATATTGGGCCTTGTGGCCCAGGTACACTGATACATAAAATGGACCATCAGAGATAGCTTATATCAGTTTGAGTGCCCTAATTTAGTAACACCTTTTCATAAATTCTGAGCTTGTATTGAATTTTATCAAGCAATTACTTTTATATTAATGCTCTCATTTGTCTATGAATTATTTTAAAATTTGTTAAGTTTTCAAGTCTAAAGCCATTCCTGCACGGTTGAGATAAATCCGACTTGACCAAAAAAAGTGTCTCTCAGTGCATCCTTCCCTTGCCATTCCTGCTGCCTGGGAGGGGCCCACAGGCTGTGGGAGGAGCCTGGCTGGGGCCTGAGAGCAGCCGGCATCACAGTCCTCACCCAGACAGGGCAGGGCTGGAGGACCTCCTGGCCCTCTAGTAGTTGGGGGGAGGGTGCTCGGGAACAGCTATGGGGGCAGATGTGAGACAGACAGGCACTCTCCCCATGCCGCGGGTGGCCTTGAGCTTCAGCCCAGCCCACCCTGGGGACTGTATAGAGCACTCTTCAGCCCTGGCTTCACTGAAGGTTCCCTGAATGAAGAGAGTCTTTGTTCTACGTGAGCCCCCTCTTGCTCTCCAGAGCAGACGTGTGCAGAGTTGGCCAAACCCCAAGGCGGACTGAGGCCACGGTCCTCCAGCCTCCAAGTGGAGGTTACCAGACTGCACAGTCCGCCCCCAGCACAAGGTCAGGGACACTTGACTTCAGAGCACCCCCAGATTCCATCATTTGCTGGGATGACTCACAGAACTTGGGAAGGTACTAAGCTTAGGTGCAGTTTTATTCCAGCAGAAAGATACGAATCACCATCAGCCAAGGGAGGAATGTCCTTGGGCAGAGTCTGGAGGGGTCCAAACACGGTGATCCAGGCATCCTCTCCCTGGGGAGTCATGGACAGCGCTCCTGGCTCCAACCACGACAGGTGACGGTCCTCACAGAGCGTTCACTGGACAGCTACCCAAGCCTTTGGTGTCAGTTACTGTGGGAGACCACGTGGCTGACTGCTGGTCTCTGGTTCCTCCACGTGGCCAGAGTCCCCCAGCACACAGTGACACTTCCGTCAGGCAGGACAGCCCAGGGCCTGGAGATCATCTCCACCCCAGTGGCCAAGAGCAACGTCCAGAACTCTTTCCAGTGAGGTTAATTCCTCATTGCAAAAGGGCATGCTACAGAGCCAGCGTCCAACAATGCAGAGTAGTGAAGCAGTGAGAAGCCTGGGCACTGAGTTCACAAGCCTCTGGTCCCTGTCCTGGCTTTCCCACTTTGCAAATTCGTGATCTGCTTTGATTGTCCTGTCGGTGCTCCCCAGCCAAAGGCCATCAGGAACATCCCAGGAGCTGGATAGATGTGGGCTTATTGGTTCTTGCTGCAACTGAAAAGACTTAGGGCAGGTGCTGCGACGCAGCAGACTAAGCCACGGCTTGCAATGCCGGCATCCCATATAGAAGCACTGGTTCGAGTCCCAGCTGCTCTGCTTCCCATCCAGCTCCTGGCTAATGCACCTGGGAAAGCAGGAAGAGATAGTCTGAGCGTTTAGGTCCCTGTCCCCGACATGAGAGATCTAGATGGCGTTCTAGATTCTTGGCTTCAACCTGGGTACCCAGCCACTGCATACATCTGGGGAGTGAACCAGCAGATGGAAGATCACTCTCCCTCTTCCCTTCTATGTCACTCTCAAAGAAAGCAAAGACCAAGGTGATGGGAGAACAGTGGAGTGTTTCGGTGACTTGGGTGTGTGTGTTGGGGAGTCCTTACTGCAGATTTGGGGCTTCTGTGAGGTGATTTTAGGGAATGTTCAAGGAAATGAAATTTTGCACTGGATTTGGTACTGTCAGGAAGTGGAGGCAATTCTACAACTGGGATTTTTTTTTTTTTAAGATTTTATTTGAGAGGTAGAGGTACAGAGAAAGGGAGAGACAGACAGAGAGGTCTTCCATCTGCTGGTTCACTCTCCAGATGGCCTCAATGGTTGGAGCTGGGCTGATCTGAAGCCAGGAGCCAGGAGCTTCTTCCAGGTCTCCCATGTGGGTGCAGGGGCCTAAGCATGTGGGCCATCTTTCACAGTTTTCCCAGCTGCATTAACAGGGAATTAGATGGGAAGAGGAGCAGCTGGGACACAAGACACGAACTGGTGCCATATGGAATGCCCCCAACTGGGCATGTTTGTCATTTTTACCTAGGAGGTGGGAGAATAGGGCAAGGCCAAAGAAACTGTGATTAATAAAGAAATGGTAATCACGACACAGGAGAGGGGAAGGCCTGCACATTTTTTTGCAGTTTCACAGTGAACTTGTCTTCGTCCACATTTAGACACATTTGTGTAGTCATCTCATTCCTGTCCTGCTGCCTCCCAGCTGCGGTCACCCTGCCAGGGATTTGTGTTCACCACGGCCCTGCAGCCAGGGCTGGATCTGCTCCAGCAGACAGGGTAGGGGCTGCTCCTTGTCCGTTCAGCCTTGAGTCTCATCATCAACATCAGGGAGAAAATGACCCTGCCCAACACATGAGGCCGCTGTGCGGATTAGGAAAATGATGTCAAATGCCCACCTCAAAATAAAACACGACAGCAGTAAGTTCCATCTTTAGTATGATGGAAAAGTAAGTTTGAGATAAAATGGGGAAGTGGAGAGTCAAGGCCAAATCCAGCAGAGGCAGAGGGAAGAGGGGTGCTGAGACAGGACATCCCGAGCCCAGGTCTCTCCTGAGGCTCCCACTGAGACTGCCCTGGGCCAGAGCAGCCATCCTTGTGTGTGGGATTGTGTGTGTTCAAATAAGAGTGTACACCTTTGTGTGTGGGAGCTAAGTGTGCCAGCAATATATGAAAAAAGTTCCAATGCCACGATCAAGAAGGATTTGTTCCAGGAATGCAAGGGTGGTTTAACATCCAAAAATCAATGAAGGTAAAACACGTAGAATATTGGACAGAATCTATAGCATTGTCTCAGTAAGCACAGAAAAATACTTCCCTTTCGAATAAGAAAACAGTCAACAAACCAGGAAGAGAACTTTCTCAAACTAATAAAGAACATTTAAGGAATGTTAGCACTGAATGGTGAAATACTTAATGCTTTCTCCCCATACCAGGAACAAGACCAAAGCTGTCAGCACTTGCCACATCTGTTTAGTGTTGTTCTGGAGGTCCCAGTCAAGGCGATTAGGCAAGGAAAAGACATTCAGATCAGAAGGAGGAAGTCAGGCCATCTCGATTTACAGATAACGTGATCTGTGCATAGACAATTCCAAGCACCAGAGCTAATAAAGCAGTTCAGTACGATTGCAGACTACATGATCAATATACAAAAGTCAATTTTTTCCCCTAAAATAGCAATGAACAATCTGACAATGCGATTGAGAAAGTAATTCCATTTACATTACCATCAAGAAGAATAAGATACTTAGGAAATAAACTTATGCAAGTGCAAGTCTCATATCCTGAGACGAGCAGGAGCAAGGCAAAGGAGAAAGGGAAGGGGGTGAGAAGGACGTGCTGGGATTCTCCACGCCTGAAGCCGCCCCAGATCCATTCTGCTCGGGGACCAACGTGATGTCGCGGAAGATCGTCTGAGAGACCAGACCCTGGCATGGGAGAGCCAGGGAACTCCAGCCCAGGAGGACAGTGGTTGTGCCCAGCACAGACCTGGGGTCAGCCTCCCGCCTCTGAATGGTCAGTGTGTGGCTTCACAGTTCTGGGGTCCCTGGGCAGCCTCAGGTCTGTGCCCCTGGAGGCCGCAGCCCCGAGGCCCGATGCTTCAGAGCGGCCCTCAAGGCCTGCAGGATGGCATCCTGGCTGTTCCGCACGTTGTAGTCACTGAGCTGCAGCAGGTGGTCAAAGTCTTCCTCCTTGTAGGTCATGTTGAAGAGGGCATAGGGGGAGGTAGGCCCGGTGAGGTCCACTTGGCCAGCCTGGAGCTCTGCAGGGCTGCGCCGGACACCTGCCCAGGGGTGGGAGAGGGTCAGGAGCAGGACCAAGCATCCCAATGGGGTGCAGGGAGGGGCTGCCACCCACTCAGGGTCCCCATTTTCTCCCAGCTCTGTGTCCTTTGCCCAGAAACACAGATGCGGGCAATAGGACACTGTTTGGAGGTCTGAAGGGTCTCTTGCTTGCCTATTTCCTTGTAGCAGTTCTACTACTGGGGCAACCGCAACATATCTATCACTTCCGGGTCACGCATAAGCAGCCAAAACAAGCAAGTCAACTATGTTTGTGAATGGATTCTTGCAGCTCATGATTGAAACAAGGGGGCTTTTTAGTGTTCAAGAACCAGTCTTTGTTGAGAGAGAAGACTTCTTTAGAATTCTAGGATGTGGGCTAAGCACGTTAAGAGTGAGGCAGGCAGACTGGGAATTCTAGTGAGAGCTAGGAAGCTGGGAATCCATGCTCCAAGGCGATTTGTTTTTCCCACCCAAAACAGGTAGAATTCTGACAAGCTGGTGAGAGGAGGGAAGAGGAAGGAAGGCAGAGAGGGTTCAAATTTCGGGATCCCTGGAGCAGAGAGTAGGAGCCCGGCCTGGGCTTGATTTGGTTGATGGAGAGGCCACTGAACACCCCACACTGAGCAGGTGAGCAGAATGGCCAAGGAGCAACCAAGCGGCCAAAGGAGCCCTGCTGTGGTAATGTAGAGGACGCCAGCCCAGCGAGGTGGCAAACGCAGGGCCCTGGCTGGGTGGAGGGAGCTTTCAGCCATGCTCAGGGCAGACCATCCTCCCCCTAAAGGGGCAGCAGGTGAGGGGCCCAGGACAGGGCCTATGAGGGGCCGGGCTGCCTGGCTGTCGGGGGAGGGGTCGCCTCACCAGGGGCCGAGTGGTCCTTGAAGGAGGCGTTGACCAGCGGGAAGTGCAGCAGGACAGGGGCCTCGGGGCAGGTGGGGTCTGAGAAGAGGTGGCACTCGCCCGGCTGGCGCTGGTCCTGGGGGCTGGGCTGCATGTGGGGGAAGGGCAGCCCGCGGGCTCGGCAGTACAGCTCCGTCTGCTGCAGTGCCTGTTGGCAGGGGCGGCCACAGGAACCCGGTCACCCCAGACCAGCACACCCCAGCTTCTCCCTCAGGTTCAAGACAACAAGCAGGTCTGGCCCGTCCCTGGCCAGCTCAGTCATGCAGTACCTCAGAGGGGGGCCAAGGGCTTGGCGCATGCACAGCTGCTGACTTAACATCTTTAGGTGGGTTCAGACCTGGCGGCCTCCCCTCCACTTTGGATTGCTCTTCCCACATTATTCAAGTCCCAGAGCCTAGAGGGCCTGCATGGGGGAGCTCCAACTGCACCCCAGCCCTGCCTCCCAGCTCGGTGCCCCTGTGCCCCTTCTGGGCAGGCTGTGGTGAGGCTCCTCCCAGCACCACCTCAGCCCTTCCCGATGCAGGACCCTGGCCGGAGCCATGGGTCTCCCCTCCCGCCCATGAGGACCCAGCAGGTGTGGGATAGTGGCTCAGTGACCCTGCTTCTCGCCCCTGGGGCTTGGCCTGGCTGGGGGCGACCAGCAGCACCTCAAAGTGCGAGGACAGGGAGTAGTCGAAGGAGAGAATGAGGTCCAGCTTTCGGCCTGGCCGGAACATGCAGGGGCAGCTGGTGTTGATGAAGTAGCCGGCGTCCACCAGGCAGAGCTGGGGCTCCTGGGGAGTCAGCTGGCCAGGGGTGGAATCCAGCGGACTGTCTGGCAGGACAGGCAAGGACAGCTGGAGGCGGCCACCCTGCTACAGGTGGCCCAGCTGCCCCCTCCCGACCACATTCAGCTCCGGGTCCCTTCCTTCCCCATGGACATCCCAGACCCTCCCCCAGACCTTCCAACAGGATCTTCTCAAAGCCACACCCGAGAAGCAGATGTCATGACAGTCAACAGCCACAGGCCACTGCTACCCAGGGATACATGCTTGTCCTAACATGGCGACTCCTCCACGGCCCTTACCTGCCCAGGTGGAGAAGTCCCTCTGGCTGTAGTAGTCCTGGTGCAGCTGCAGGCCCTGGAGGAAGTTGGTGCTGTGCTGGTGGAGTGGCCTGCCCGTCAGGAAGCCCTTCAATGCCTGGGCCAGGGCCGTGCCGGGCTGCAGCCACGACGCCTCCATCCAGGAGGAGGGCTGTGGGGAGGCAGGGGGGCGCTCCTTCTCTGCAGCTTGAGAAACACACGTCGGTCCAGTGAGGGCCTGGAGACGCCTGCCCCTCCTCCCCACAGACGCTCCGTCAGGGAAACAGCCTCATGCAGGCCAGCGTCCTGCTGCTGCCACCACTCCTACCCATGTTCCTGATCTTGTCCTTGAGGTGGTGTGTCCAGGCCTCGCCAGAGCTGCCGAGGTCATGCCAAGCATCCAGCAAGTTCAGGGAGAAAATGTTGCTCCAGATACCTGGAGGCCAACCCCCCCGAGAGAGGTCAGCCCTGGGGTCCCAGTGCCCTGCCTCCCCCACGCGGAGGCCAGAGGTCCCAGCCTTGGGTGCTGATGGCAATGGGGGTGAAGACAGGGCTGTGCCGCAACAGCTCTTCCCACTGCCCAGCCCTGCCCCCTCGCCCTGGGGCTCTCCCACATCTGAGCCACAGGACTCAGGGTGACTGACCCCCCCACACCCGTCACCTTCCAGAAAGCAGATGCGGGGCTCAGGCAGCCTCCTCATCAGCCGCCCCATGAAGAACTCGGAGCCGAAGAGCTCAGGGGGGACGAAGGCGCCGTACTTGAGGAACCCGGCCTCGTAGGGGGAGAACTCCACCCACTCTGGTGGGGTGGACAGAGATTGGGCGTGAGGGGAGTGGCCTGGGGAGCCCAGCTCGGGCAAGGGCCTCAGCCTCCCTCCAGCCTGACATCGACTCTGCACATGTGAGGAAGGCACACTCCTGGGCTGACCATGCCCCCACCCCGCCTGGTACCCTGTGCCTGCTCTGAGCACAGGGCACTCCCCTGGCTGGCCTCTGACTCTATCACATCCATACCCCTATGGAAGACTGCGGATGGGCAGAAGTGTCCAGTTTGGGAGCCCTGGGTGCAGAGGATTTGGGGAGCTCGGGCGTTGGAGCAGGGCCGTACCTTTGAAGTCGAGGGTCTCCAGATTGTTCTCTTTGACATTGAGGCTCAAGTAGAGGGGCAGGGGGTTCTGCCCCCGCTCCAGCGCAGCTCTCTGTCCCGACAGCTTCTGGTCCATCACCTGGGGTGGGAGGGCGTGAGGGCCTCAGGGAGGCTGGGGGCACCCACTCTGCTAGGACAGGGTCTGGGGAGGGGAGGCAGCTCCTCAAGTGGGAATCGGAGGGCCTGGGTGGGTGGGCACCGACTGTGCCCACTCCTGACCCTGTCGCCAGCCCCTAGCCCCACATCTTGTGCTTCCAGTGGCCCCATCTGTGAGTTTACAGGTGGAGCGGGTGTGGATTCTGACACAACAGACACAAAAGGCATGTATGTGCACGCATGCACACGCACACACACACAGCTTTCCAGAAAGGACCAGCGAGCCTGCTCCAGGATATAGTGTGAGCGACGCCAGCAGAGGGGCTGCCCCTTCCAGGTTCCCCTCAATGCAGTCCAAGTCTCAGCCCCTCCCCAGTGCTCTCCTGACGTCCTGCCTTCCGGGTCTCGCACACTGTGAGGTTGTACCAGTTGTTTATTCTTGCAATCTCTTCTCCATTGCCTCTTCAGAAAACCCCAAGCTCTGTCTTTAATGGTCTTTTTAGGGAACCTCCCCAGGTCCCCCTGGGTTCTAGGGGCACAGAAAGGCTGTCTTCTATCCCGGGTCAGGGATGCAAAGGAGGCTCAGCTCCAGCTCCAGGAGGGTCAGGGACCTGCACCTCCCTCTCAGGTTCTCCAAGCTGGAAAGGAGTCTGGTCACGGTGCTCCCAACCAGCCCTATCAGTCAGCCCTTTACTTCCAGAGCGTGTTAAACCCACAGATTTGGGGTCTCTACAGAGAATCAGCCTATCAGAAGTCACTTTGAAGTTTGCCTTTTATTTTTATTTATTTATTTATTTATTTTTTGACAGGTAGAGTTAGACAGCGAGAGAGAGAGACAAAGGTCTTCCTTCCGTTGGTTCACCCTCCAAATGGCTGCACCGATCCGAAGCCAGGAGCCAGGTGCTTCCTCCTGGTCTCCCATGCAGGTGCAAGGCCCAAGCACTTGGGTCATCCTCCACTGCACTCCCAGGCCACAGCAGAGAGCTGGACTGGAAGAGGAGCAACTAGGACAGAATCCAGTGCCCCAACCGGGACTAGAACCCGGGGTGCCAGTGCCGCAGGCGGAGGATTAGCCTAGTGAGCCATGGTGCCAGCCGAAATTTGCCTTTTAAAACAATCTCCCATGGGGCTGGCATTGTGGTATAGCAAGTTAAGCCCCTGCCAACGACACCAATATCCCATATGGCAGCCAGTTTGTGTCCTGGCTGCCCTACTTCCAATTCAGGTCCCTGCTAATGCACCTGGGAAAGCAGTGGAAGATGGCCCAAGTGCTTGGGCCCCTGCACCCATGTGGGAGACCTAGATGAAGCACCTGGCTCTCCAGCCCTGGACGTTGTGGCCATTTGGGGAGCAGACCAGTGAACGGAAGATCTATGCTTCTCCATAACTCCATCTTTCAAATAAATAAATCTTTTTTTAAGATTTATTTTATTTATTTGAGAGTCAGAATTACAGAGAGAGGTAGAGACAGAGAGAGAGAGAGGTCTTCCATCTGCTGGTTCACTCCCTAGATGGCCGCAACGGCCGGAGCTGTGCCAATCCAAAGCCAGGAGCCAGGAGCTTCTTCCAGATCTCCCAAGGGGGTTCAGGGGCCCAAGGACTTGGGCCATCCTCCACTGCTTTCCCAGGCCATAGCAGAGAGCTGGATTGGAAGAGGAGCAGCTGGGACTAGAACCGGCGCTCATATGGGACGCCGGTGCTTCAGGCCAGGGCTTTAACCCACTGCGCCACAGTGCCGGCCCCTCAAATAAATAAATCTTTAAAACAAAACAAAACAAAACAAAAATATCTTCCCAGGTGATTCCAGCGACCAGCCCTGTGTGTGTCCGGGGCTTCTAGTCCAGCCTCCCACATGAATGGCAAAAGCCAGCAGGGCCAGTCTGTTTCCCTGTGCCCGGCAGCCCTTCTGGCACCCCTGTGTCCACTCTATTCACCGTCCCCAGGTGCTCCCCTGGCACCCACTAGGACCTGAGTCATGGAGAATCCACAGGAAAATCCCCAACAGGGCTCGAGCCCCAGCCATGGATGTTGCTGTTCTATCTACAAGTCAGTCCTCCAGGAGTGTGTGGAAGGGAAGGGAGGGAAGGCGGGCGGCTAATACCTGCAATGTCCCTTCTCAAGTCTTCTGATCAGAAATCCTCTTCATTGCCCTTTTGATATGCACAGTTAGAGAAAAACTGTCCTTACACAACTTCTGCCTGGTGACAGTTTGGGGGAAGGGTTAGAACACCCCTCCACCTTCCAGAACCTTCGGTTCAGGGCCGGCATTGTGGCACAGGCATTAAGTCTCCACGGTCAAAGCCAGGATCCCATACTGGAACCATGGTTCAAGTCCTGACTGCTCCATTTCTGACCCAGCTCCCTGCTAATACACCTGGGAAAGCAGGAGAGGATGGCCCAAGTGCTTGGGCCCCTGCACCCACATGGGAGTTCCAGGTAGAGTTTCTGGTTCACGGCTTTGGCTTGGCCCGGCCCTGGTTGTTGGGACCATTGGGGAGTGAACCAGCAGATTGAGGATCTCAATTTCTCTCTTACTCTCTCTCTTTTTCTGTCTTTCAAATCTTCCAAAATAAATAAATAAATACAATGTTCTGTTCAACACTGAAGAAAAACATGTAAGACTTTCTTAACCCAGGAGAGGGTCAGAGGAAAACTGACTGCTCGGGGAGGCAGCAGGTGCTGGCTCCAGTAGCTGGGCCCCTGCTCACCCACATGGAGACCAGGACTGAGTTCTAGGCTCCTGGCTGTCGCCTGGCCCAGCCACAGCTATTGCAGGCATCTGGGGGGTGTAACAGCAGACGAGAGATCCTCGTCTCTAAATATGTCTTTTTCTCTCTGTGTCTCTCTTACTTTCAGAAATACAAATGAAAAACCAGCATAGGTACTTATTTTTAAGAATACATAGTTGTCCATTAGCACTACCAAAATTCTCACTCTTGTGAACAACAACAACAACAAAAATGACTACAGTGACCAGTGCTGTGGCGCAGTGGGTTAAAGCCCTGGCCTGCAGAGCCAGCATCCCATACAGGTGCCAGTGGGAGTCCCAGCTGCTCCACTTCCAATCCAGCTCTCTGCTATGGCCTGGGAAAGCAGTGGAGGATGGCCCAGAAGGCCCCTGTATCCATGTAGGAGACCCAGAAGAAGCTCCTGGCTTCAGATCAGCTCAGTTCTGGCTATTGTGGCCATTTGGGAGTGAATCAGTGGATAGAAGGCCTTTCTCTCTCTCTCTCTCTCTCTCTCTCTCTCTCTCTGTGTGTGTGTGTGTATGTCTACCTCTCTCTGTAACTCTGTCTGTTAAGTAAATAAAATAAATCTTTTAAAAAAATACAAAAAATAAAGCTCTGGCCTGTAGCACTGGCATCCCACATGGGCATTGGTTCAAGTCCCAGCTGCTCCACTTCTGATCCAGCTCCATGCTAATGTACCTGAGAAAGCAGCAGAGGATGGCCCAAAGGCCCCTGCACTCATGTGGGAGACCCAGAAGAAGCTCCTGGCCGTTGTGGCCATTTGGGGGGTGAACCAGCAGATGGGGAGATCTCACTCTCTCTCTCTAACTCTGCCTCTCAGGTAAATAAAATACAATCTTAAAAAAAAAAAAAGAACTAAAAAATGACTACAGGGGCAAGTGTTTAGCTAAGCAGGTAAGACACTGGTTAAGATGCCTGTGCCCCACACTGGAGTGCATGAGTTTCATTCCTGGCTTTGGCTCCTGATTCCACCTTCCGGCTAATGAAGAAGATTCTTGAGGCAGCAGCAAAGCTCAAGGAATTGGGTTCCTGCTGTCCATGTGAGAGACCTGCACGGAGTGCCCAGCTCCTGGCTCTGGCCTGGCCTTGTTCTGGGCATCTCGGGCATTTGGGGAGTGAACCAGAGGATGAAAAATCTCTCCCTCTCTCCCTTTCTCTCTCCCTCTCTCTCTCACTCTCTCCCTTTCCCTCTCTCCCTGTCTCCCTCTCTCTCCCTCCTCTCCCTCCCTTGGACTGTCAAAGAAATTTCTTTAAAAATCAATCAGTAAAAATGACTATAAACCTAATACATAAAATCATTCATTAACTCATTACTAGAGGATCAAACGTAATTAAGTAAAAGTCTATTTTTATAGCCCGGGTTCAAACCGCACTTTCAAGCACCTTGTAAACTGAACTGTTAAGACAAGTTTCTCCTACCTACACTAAGTGGCTGCTGCCTCCAGGCAGAAAACTCAGCCACTGAACATGAACTGAAACAGTAGATCCAACAGATACATAAGCCAGCGACGCAGGATCCAATATCAGAGCACCGGTTCAAGTCCCGGCCGCTCTGCTTCCAATCCAGCTCCCTGCTAATGTTCCCCGGGGAAAGCAGCGGAGGGTGCACAGCCCCAGTGGTTACAGCCATCTGGAGAGTCAACTGGCAGATGGAAGATCTCTGTGTCTCTCCCTCTCTCTCTGTAACTCTGCCTTTCAAATAAAATAAACCATTTTTAAAAAAGGAATGCATTCTTATTTAAAAATAATGTATTTCAAGTGGTTGTGCTGGTTCTATAAATTCAATGCCATGTCAAACAAAATCCCAATGCTGACCATGAAAATGGACTGGCTATTATGGAAAGAGAAGGACCACGGACCAAGAGGAGCCATGAGAATTCACAGGAAGAACCAAGGTGGCAATGGGGCAAACCCGCCCACAGATAATCGAGATTTATTACATAGGCAGTGTGCTGTGGCATAGGGGTAGAGAAGCAGGCCTGTTAAGATAGCAGAGAGCGCTCAGGAAGAGTCCCAGGCATGGACGGAACCTGATACAGCACAGAAGTAGCAATGCAGATCCCTGGGGGGAATCTTCATCTTACAGAGAGAGAAGGAGAGACACAGGGATCTTCCATCTGCCAGTTGACTCTCCAGATGGCTGTAACCACTGGGGCTGTGCACCCTCCGCTGCTTTCCCCGGGGAACATTAGCAGGGAGCTGGATTGGAAGCAGAGTGGCTGGGACTTGAACCGGTGCTCTGATATTGGATCCTGCATCGCTGGCTTATGTATCTGTTGGATCTACTGTTTCAGTTCATGTTCAGGAAGGGGCTGGCACTGTGGCACCATGGATCCCATGTGGGCACTGGTTCACCACATGAACTGGTGCTGCCTACAACACTGGCATCCCATAATGATTCCAGGTTCAAGTCCCAGCTGCTCCACTTTTGATGCAGTTCCCCACGAATGTGCCTGGGAAAGCAGTGGAAGATGGCCCGAAGTATTTGGGCTCCTGCGCCCACTTTGGGAGACCAGGATGGAGTTCCAGTCTTCTGGTTTTGGACTGGCCCAGCTTTACCTGTTGCGGCCATTTGGGGAGTGAGCCAGTGCATGGAAGATTTATCTGTCTGTCTTTCCCTCTCTCTTAACTCTGCCTTTCAAATAAATACCTTCAAATAAAAATAAAAAGTAAGTGAACTGGGGGATTTTCCTATCCACTGGAGAAAACAATCATTTATCTCTATTTACATTATACATAGAGATAAATTCTGAAAGCATTGAAGTCCTATTTGTAAGAAATAATTCTTAAAAATGATTTATTTGAAAGGCAAAGAGATAGAATGAGACAGACAGAAATGTCTCCCATCTGCTGGTTCCCTCCCCAAATGCCCTCACAGCCAGGCCTGGGCCAGGCTGAAGACAGGAGGCAGGAGAGAACTCAATCCAGGCCCCACACATGGGTAGCAGGGATCCAACCACTTGGGCCATCACTGCTGGCTCCCAGGGTGAGCTGGGTCAGAAGCAGAGACGCTGGGACTCAAACCAGGCCCTCTGCTATGAGATGCTGGTATCCCGAGCAGCATCTTAACTACTGCACCCAAACGCATGCATCAAGAAATAAGTCTTTAAAACTTTCACGAGAATATATGGGGGGGGGGGGTGAGGTGGGAGTGAGAACTGTCGTTGTGGCATAGCAAGTTAAGCCCGCAATGCTGGCATCCCATGTGGGTGCCAGTTTGAGTCCTGGCTGCTCTACTTCCAATCCAGCTTCCTGCTAATTAGCCTGGGAAAGCAGCAGAAGATGACCCAAGTGTTTGGGCCCCTGTACTCACATGGGAGACCCAGCAAAAAGCTCCTAGCTCCTGGCTTTGGATTGGCCCAGCTCTGGCCGTCGTGGCCATTTAGGGAGTGAACCAGCGGGTGGAAGACCTCTCTATCTCTCCCTCTCTCTGTCTGTAACTCTGCCTCTCGAATAAATATTTAAAAAAGAGAAAGAGAGTGAGTGAACCAGCACAAGGGAGCTCTCAGTGTGCCTCTCAAATAAAATTGTTTATAGAAACAATGTTATGTTTTTCTTAAGGATGCGTAACAAAGGTATATATTAAAGCTATATAAAATACATATTATGTGCAATGACACATTATTTATCATATAACAGAACAGCTCTGCATATGCCTGAGATGATAAACCCGAGTCTGGGATGCTGGGTACCCCTGGGGGTGGGCAGGCCCTGGGACTGGGAGGGGTGCAGAGGCTTCAATGGCACCCATAGCATTTCATTCCTTGGGCTCCTTGGTGAGGTCATGCATCTTCATTACTTTATTCATTTTCTTAGGTGTAAAGATTTTCATAAAAATGTTCAATAAATGTTGAGATTTGCATAATAAATATTTGCAACTAATAAATAAAAAGTAAGAATGGCTGGTAGTTATCAACAGTGCTGCACTTGCCAGTGAAGATAAAATTTAAAGAAAAAATTCTAAGATTAAACGAAAAACATTCATGGAGGAATTCTTTCTGGTTGGTTTGCACTATAATCATTCTCAAACACCTCATACTTGAAGATAAAGAAGAAGCCCTATGCACTAGTACACTCCATGGTCCACTGTTTTTGTTACGTGTGTTAGATACTTTTTGTCCTGTACTTGTTTCAAATGCTTTTGAAACTTTGTTAAGATAATTCTTGCTGGCAAAACAATAGTATAGGGGGAAAAATCACCATTTTGATAATTATCTCCATTAGTGTAAGGATTAGCAGTTAATTTCCTTAGCTTCCTTAAAGGAGCATTGTAATAAAAAAAAATATGCCATGGGGCTGGCTTCGTGGCACAGTCTGTTAAGCCGCCACCCACATAGCCAGTGTCCCATATCAGAGTCCCGTCTGCTTTGCTTCCAATCCAGCTCCCTGCTGCTGCACCTGAGAGGGCCACGGAAGTGCCTTCATCCCTGCCTACCACATGGGAGACCCCAGTGGGGTTCTAGGCTTCTGGTTTCAGCTTGGCCTACACCTGGCTGTTGTAGCCATTTGGGAGTGAACCAGAGAGTGGAAGGTATTTCTTTCCTCTCTGTCTTTCTCTGTCTCTCTGCTTTTCAAATAAATAAAATTTTAAGATTTATTTATTCAAAAGGCAAGTTACAGTGAGAGAGAAAGAGAGATACAGAGATTGCTGGTTCACTTAGTTCCCAAATGACCCCAATGGCCAGGGCCATCCTATGACAAAGCTAGGAGCCAGGAGCTTCTTCCAGGTCTCCCACATGGTTGCCATGGACCCAAGCACTTTGGCCATCTTCCATTGCTTTCTCAGATGCATTAGCAGGGAGCTAGATCAGAAGCGGAGCAGCTGGGACTTGAACCGGCACCAGCATCAGAAAAATATTTTAAATCACCAGTTTTTTCTTGATGGCAGAATAACATTAAGGAAAAACAATAGCTGGGATGTGGGTAGTGCTCACTCTATACCAAGGCACCACTGAGTTCTCAGAGCAAGCCTCTCAGGCAAGTGCAATCCTTGTCCCCGTCGGACACGAGAGACAGCTGAAGCACAGAGAGTTTAAGTCACTTAGCTGAGGATGCAAGCTAAGAGGTTCTGGGATTAGAACCATGGGAGTCCGGTGGAAATAAACCCAAAGCAGCTCTCCGAAGCTCACCGAGCTTCTCTTGCTTCACTGGTGCTGGCTGACCCCTGGCTCTTGGGAGATCCAGAAACTAGATTCAGAACAGCCTGACTCAGACAGGCAGCACCCCAGGCTGGGAGACCCTGAGCCATGGAGCTGCCCATCTCCTTTAGCAATGGTCCCAGTGTCTCACGCCCTGCCAGAAACACACACCTGCTCTGTCCCGCGTGCCCTGGGGCCTACCTGACCATGCAGCATGAACTCCAGCACCAGGGCCCACAGATCCACAAAGGTCGTGGGGTGGCCCCGCTCAGCCCTCAGCTCCAGCTCCCGCTTGTAGCTCGCCAGGCGCGCCGGGGAGAAGGCGTCCAGCTTGCTCTTGGCCAGGTGCTCCCGGGCATGGCTGATGGGTCCCTTAAGGTCCTTCTGTGACCACTCAGGGTCCCCGTACAGGTGGGCCATTGCCCTGGGGGAACAGAGGACAGGTTTGTAGGATGCGAGGCCTAGCTTGGGGCAATGAAATCCTGCCTCCCGCCCTCTAGCTCCCCCCAGCATGAGGCTCCTGCCATGGAGGCTCTGCCTGTCTGGAAAATGAGCCACAGGGCTCTTCTCCCACATCACTGCTACTCGCTTGTTTGTTTTTAAAGATTTATTTATTGGGGCTGGCATTGTAGCACAGCGGGTAAAGCCATCGCCTTTGATGCTAGCACATATATGGGTGCTGGTTCAAGTGCTGGCTGTTCCACTTAGCGGAGGATGGCCCATGTGCTTGGGCCTCTGCCACCCACATGGGAGACCTGGAGGAAGCTCCTGGCTACTGGCTCCTGGCTCCTGGCTTCTGGCTTCGGCCTGGCCCAGTCCTGAGTGTTGCAGCCATCTAGGGTGTGAATCAGTGAATGGAAGACCTCTCTTTCTCTCTCCTACCCTGCCCCAATTCTGACTTTCAAATAAATAAATAAACCTTTAAAAATTATTTAATATTTATTTATTTACTTGAAAGGCAGGTTGCAAAGAGAGAGAGGTAGAGACAGACAGTTCACCTCACAGATGGCTGCAATGGCCAAAATTGGGCCAGGCCAAAGTCAGGAACCAGGAGCTTCTTCTAGATTTTCCACATGGATGCATGGGCCCAAGCACCTAGGCCATCTTCTGCTGCTTTCTCAGGTGCATTAGCAGAGAGCTGGATGAGAAATGGAGCAGCTGGGACTTGGGATGTGGGTGACACAGGCAGTGGCTTAACCCACTATGCTATAATGCTGGCTCCAGTGCCATTCACTTTTAGTAGAATGTGAGCCACATGTACACCTGCAAATTTCCTAATAGTCATTTTTTTTTTGACAGGCAGAGTGGACAGTGAGAGAGAGAGAGACAGAGAGAAAGGTCTTCCTTTGCCGTTGGTTCACCCTCCAATGGCCGCCGCAGCCGGCGCACCGCGCCAATCCAATGGCAGAAGCCAGGTACTTATCCTGGTCTCCCATGGGGTGCAGGGCCCAAGCACTTGGGCCATCCTCCACTGCACTCCCTGGCCACAGCAGAGAGCTGGCCTGGAAGAGAGGCAACCGGGACAGAATCCGGTGCCCCGACCGGGACTAGAACCCGGTGTGCCGGCGCCGCTAGGTGGAGGATTAGCCTAGTGAGCCACGGCACCGGCCCTAATAGTCATATTTAAAAAGTCTATAGGGGGGTCAGCACTGTGGTGTAGCAGGTAAGGCTCCTGCCTGTAGTGCTGGCATCCCATATGGGCGCTGGTTCGAGTCCTGGCTGCTCCACTTCCAATCCAGCTCTCTGCTGTGGCCTGGGGGCCTCTGCACCCATGTGGGAGACCTGGAAGAAGTTCCTGGCTCCTGGCTTCGGATGAGCGCAGCTCCGACTGTTGTGGCCAACTGGGGAGTGAACCAGCGGATGGAAGACCTCTCCTTCTCTCTCTCTCTGTATCTCCCTCCCCCCCTTCTCTCTCTGTGTAACTCTTTCAAATAAATAAATAAATCTTTTTTAAAAAAAAGTCTATAGGGGCCGGTGCTGTGGCATAGAAGGTTAAGCTTCTGTCTGCGGTGCCGGCATCCTGTATGGGTGCTTGTTCAAGTTCCAGCAGCTCCACTTCTGATCCAGCTACCTGCTAATGGCCTGGGAAAGCAGCGGAGGATGGCCCAGGTGCTTGGGCCCCTGCACCAACAAGGGAGAATTGGAGGAAGCTCCTGGTTCCTGGCTTCAGATAGGCCCAGCTCTGGCCGTTGTGGCCATCTGGGGAATGAACCAGAAGATCTCTCTCTGTCTCTCCTTCCCTCTGTCTATAACTCTGCCTCTCAAATAAATAAATAAATATTCAAAAAAAGATTACATTCACAAAAAGTCTATAGATAAGCCACTAAAAATTAATTTTAAATATATCTAAAAATTATCTTTTAAACAGGGAACTGGCATAAAAAGTTATTGACCTAATGTGTATTGTTTTTCAAACCAAGCCTTCCAAATGCATTGTGAATTTCATGTTGAGAGCAGACCCCAGTGTGGAGGAGCCACATTTCAAGTGGTCAGTCACCCCCCACAGCTAGTGGCCACCGCCGGGGACAGCGCTGGACCCTACTCCCACCTTCCTGGGCCCGCCCCAAAGTCCCTGATGACTGTGCTCGTCAACAGCTGGCGCCTAAACCATTCCAAGGGGCTGACGCCTCTTGTACTCTTCCAGTCATGTTTCAAGGAGGCTCAAAGGAATGAAACTGCAACAGTGAAGCGTTTCAGAGCTGGGCGGGTGTGTGGGGAGGCAGTGCTGTCCTTAGATAACATGCCCTCTTGTGACCCCAGACTAAAGGAGGTAACGATAATGAAAACACAAAGAGCTTCCAACCTGGAGCTCCTGGTACAGGCACACTTCAGGCAGCTCATGGGAAATGGAATTAAGAGACATCTCTTTTTGGCCAAAAAACTTTCTTGAAACTCATGTATTGGGGCTAGCACTGTGACGTGGCAGGTAAAGCCACTACCTGCAGTGCCAGCATCCCCTGTGAGCACCAGTTGCCAGTTCTAGTCCCGGCTGCTCCACTTCTGATCCAGCTCTCTGCTGTGGCCTGGGAAAGCAGTAGAAGATTGCCCAAGTCCTTGGGCCGCTGGACCCGCATGGGAGACCCAGAAAAGAATCTCCTGGCTCCTGGCTTCGGATCAACACAGCTCCGGCCATTGTGGCCATCTGGGTAGTGAAGCAGAGGATGGAAGACCTCTCTCTCTCTCTCTCTCTCTAAGTCTGACTTTCAAATAAATTAATCAATTAAAAAAAAAAATGTAGGCTGGCACCGCGGCTCACTAGGCTAATCCTCCGCCTGCGGCGCCGGCACACCGGGTTCTAGTCCTGGTTGGGGCGCCAGATTCTGTCCCGGTTGCTCCTCTTCCAGGCCAGCTCTCTGCTGTGGCCAGGGAGTGCAGTGGAGGATGGCCCAAGTGCTTGGGCCCCTGCACCCTCGTGGGAGACCAGGAGGAAGCACCTGGCTCCTGGCTTCGGATCGGCGCAGCGCACTGGCCGTGGCGGCCATTTGGGAGGTGAACCAATGGAAGGAAGACCTTTCTCTCTGTCTCTCTCTCTCACTGTCTAACTCTGCCTGTCAAAAAAAAATGTATAGATTCTTCATAATACATACTCCTAGTGAACGTTCTGAAGTTCACAAAAATACACGTCTCTTAACTCCATCTTGCATGAGCCCGTGAGTCCCTGGTGTGTGCGAGTGGCTTCTGTGGGCGAGCCCACTCGGGTCCTGTGGACTGCGGACTCTCATTACACCCATTTTGGAGATGTGTTGACTGAGGCCCTGAGGGATAGGCTGTTCCAGGCCGCCCCGGCTTGGGCTTGTACGTGGTGTTGCCTGGTGTTGCCGGGCCTCTGGCCCAGCTCCTTCTGCATCCCCCCGGGGTGCAGCTCCTCAAGGACTTCTGGGAACTCACCCCCACCTCACTCAGGCAGGCCCTCCCCAGGTGGCTGCTCCCTCCCCCTTTGAGCGGGCCACTTGCAGCCATCAGACCCCACTGCTCACACATGCATGCACACACACGCGTGCACACACACACACACACCGCATAAACGGTCCCTCTGGCACTCACCGCCCCCTCCCCCAGTTCTGGTCGTCTCTGCTCTCACCAGGTTGAGCCTGAAACGCCACTGAAGTAGGTCACACAGTCCAGGAGGCCGAGCTTCTGCAGACCCAAGAGGTGGCCGTAGAGTGAGGTCATGGCCCTGGCGCCGCCTCCTGTGGCCGCAATGCCCACAACGGGAACCTGCACCACACACGGACACAGGCTGCCTCACATGGACAGGAACGAGCAGCCTCGTGCCACGGCCTGCCTCCAGGGAAGGGGCCTCTAGGGCAGGGTTAGCGCCAGGACCCAGCCCCTCCCCATGAAGTGACAGCTTCAGTCCAGGACAGTGCTCCAAAGGGGGCTAAAACCTGCAGTCCACCCACGCCCCATAAGTCCCCGGGCGGCTGCAGAGCGCGTGGGAATCACGTGCTCCCGTAAGGTCAGCCCCGGGCATCTGTCCGCACACCCCCTGGAGCCCAGACCTCATCCTCCTGCAGGTCTCTGTCCAGCTGCAGGGCCTGCTTCAGGGCCTTGGCCACCACCTGCTTCCGCCTGCTCAGGAAGGCCTGCTCCTCCGCACAGAGGTCGAAGCCCAGCCGTACCGCCAGCTCCTCGGGGCTGCAGCAATGAAGAATCCGGGGGTCGGGGGCTCCAGCCTGGCTCAGCCATGGCTGAAGCTCATGACAAGCTGCCCTATAACCTCTTTCCAACCCCAAGACCACCCTTCTCCCGGCATTCCCCTCCCCCGACCAGACAGGAATGTTCCTTACCAGGCCCCTGCCTTGAGCTGCAGCCTCACTCCTGGGCCCTGAAATCAAAGCAAGAGACCTTGCCTTGAACGTCCTAGACCTTGAGCTGAGTGTGGTACCCCAGGGCCTTGCGCTCCCCCAGCCTCACTCTTGCTGGCACTTCCTGTCCAGTGGGGGCCACTCACGTTTGTAGCGGGAACATCCACAGTCACCTCCTTCCCCGTGGCCAGGGACTTCAGGGGCAGAGTGAGGTGTCCAGCTGAGCCATGGGAGTTCCAGCCATTGCTCGTGGAGCCCTGGAGGGAATTCTGCATTCATGCATGGAATAAATGTTTACCAAGTCTCTGGACGGCAAACAAGACCATTTGTATTACCCCCCACCCCCCGCCCCGGGTAATACAGAACCAAATACATCCATGACAGTTACTGCAATGGTGATAGCAGTCATTGTAATTATTAATACTCAGAAGATAATAGCTGATACTTATTTAGTGCAAAGGCATCGCTCCCACAGAATCACATGTCTGAGTGTATAAAGAAACAGTTAACAGACTGTTAAGTTGCTGCGATGGAAACAAGCAGTGGGATGTGATAGAGTGACCAAGGTGGGGTGTGGAAGGTCAAGAGGGGCTCCTCTGAAGCGGCGTCATGTGAGCTGAGGTGGAAGAGGAAGACGGGAAGCGCTCAGCATGTTGCAAAAAGCAAAAGAAGGCAAGGATGGTTGGAGCATCGTGACCCAGGGGGAGGCGGAGGTGGCGTGGCTGTGCAGGGCCTTGTGGGCACGGGCAGCAGGTCAGGCCAAGAGCGCCCCCGGAGGAGCCCCTGGACAGCACACTGGAAGGCAGGCATGACACCGTAGCCTCCAGCCCACGGAGGGTCAGTGCCTGACTGAGGGAGGTCGACGGGGCCACAGGAGACCTGGCCTCGCACGGGGAAGGTGGGTCATGGACGGAGCTCCAGAGCCGAGACACACCCTCAGGCGCCCATTCAGCTCCGTCTCTTGAGCCGCCAGGTAGTGGAAGCGGAAGGCAGAGGCTGTGCCCAGGACAGACGTCTGCGTGTCCTCATAGGACCCCTTCAGCACCAGCTCCAGCTCCAGCTTGTCCTGATCTGGGGAGAGAGGGGGCGGGCTGCATGAGGCCAACACGTGGAAGCCGCTCTCAGACCTGGAACCCAGCAGTACTTTCTAGATATGGAGGTGGCCCAGGAGGCTGGACAGGACCCTCTCCTGTGTGCCGCACTCCACAGCCCTCACAGGATTCCCGTCTGGGCATTTGCTCTCCTCCAGATCAGGTGACCCCCTCCTGTCTGCCCTCTGCTCACCTCCCACCCTGCACAGGTTTCCCAGCCACCCCAGCCTATCCTCCAGAGGCCTCACCTGCCACCGCTGAAGTGCTGCCTGCTCTGTCCAGACGCACATCCAGGCAGGATAGCTCCCGGGCCTGCGGCAGACTGCATCGTGGGAGGGGGCTCTGCGGGGTATGCTGAGGCCCCAACCTCATCCCTCTGAACCCCTCCGGGACCAGAGGTACCACCACAGGATGAGTGGGTGCCGAATGAGGCTTGGAAGCAGAAACCGCCCCGCCTCTGATCTGCGGGGTGGCGGCTGCACCTGCTCCTCCAGACTGCCCGGGGAGCCCTATCTCCACCCTCACTCCAGCTCTCTTCGCTCTGCCGAACTCCTGCGATCTCTGAACACCCCCAGCTCCCCAAGGCAGTTCTTCCCTCTCCGCATGGCTCTGCAGCCGTGGCTGGGGGATGTCTTTCTACCGTACAACACTCAAATGGTGTACATACATCTCAGCCCTTGGGGTGTCAGGAACACTGAGAATGGTAGAACGCCCCCTACCGGCGGCCCCCAGCATGTGCTCTGTAAAGCAGCCCACTGATGCATGCTGCCCTTGCTGAAGAATTTATCTAATCCCACAGAAGAAGCCACTGGGCATGACTTTATTGTATTGCAGATTTTAAAAATACCAGCCCCTCAACTGGCGGCAGGGCCCTGACAGTGCGCATTTCCTTCTGAGCTCTCAGCGCCTTCTCTTCCAACCCCAGGTCCACTGGCTCCCAAGTGCCCCTGAGCTGCTGCGGGTCAGTTCGAGGCCCACACTTTATGCCTCGCTCGCCACCTTGTGGCCGCCCCTGTCCACTGCAGCATCCTGAACCTGTGGATGGGCCCTCAGACTCTAACCCTGTCTCTGAGACCAGCACATCCCACTGCAAACTCCCTCGGAGCGTCAGTGACCTCAATAGTAACACCCGAAGGTGTGCCTGGCTGGCCGGGCTCTGCCATGGCTCCCAGGGAAGAACTCAGAACTACCAGTCTGTCACACATGACAACACCAGCAGGCAGCCCCTAGGCCTCCCCGCAGGGTCCCCTGTCCCACACCTTTAGCTCCAGGCCCTTGGGAGCCCCACAGCCGCCCCAGGGAGCGCCTGGGACCCCTTGCCCAAGTGAACCTGGGGAAGGCGCTCACCACAAGCACTTGGTTGGTGACGAGGTTTTCCGGACGGTCTAACCTGGAAACAGCAGAGCCCTCTGAGTCTCGCCCTGCCAAGGCAAAGGCTTCTGCCACGGCTCTGCCCCAACACGCCCACGCTCCTGCCCACCTGTGGTCTCCCCGGGAAACGGGAGGGCCCCTGGAGGCCTTAAGGAGATTCACCAGCAAGAGGGGGAGGATGGGGTGGGGGGAGGGAGGAAGAGGAAGGGCACATGTTGGAGCCCTCATGGATGTCCCTCTCCTCTTCTCCCGGTGGACCCTCCTAGGCCTCCTGGGACAGCGACTCCGGCCTGGACCGATGCACGTGGCACCTGGGTCGGGGCCATTCCCTGAATCCCGCCGGCCCGGCCGCTCCCCGTGCTGCACGATGTCACTCACGCTTGTTCCATCAGGAACTCCACGTCCAGCTCTTCCTGGGCCTGAGAGGAAAGAAGAGGAGTGGGTGGTGGGCTTGTCCAGCCACAGGCCTTTCCCACGGCGTCTCACCATCCCCAGCCTCAGCGGCGTGTTGGGGAACAGGGTTACTCTGCACCAGCAGTGTGCAGAGAGCAGCCCTGCCTTCCTTCTGGGCCCCCAAACTCAGGGCAAGGCGGGATGACAAGGAATACAGGCAAGGGAGGCCCGAGGAGCTGGATGGGCTCATAGGCTGCTAGGTCAGTCTCTGACGGAATGAGAAAAGGGGCAGGGTCCCTTTAAGAGTGGACAAAATGCTTGTTTCTTCTCACAGGCTGCCTTTAGTTCATTTTATTAAGAGAATAGACTAGATAGGATTACAAATTCCAGCTACCTGATGGGTTTTTATTCCTGCCTCTGATTGGTTGCTATCCCAGCCCTCTGATTGGTTGTTATTCTAGCCTTCTGATTGGTTAAATCTCCCCTTATTGGTTAAATCCAGGTAGCTACTTTTGTGCATAAAAGAGCCAGTACCCGCAGGCTTCCTGGACAACTCCACTCTTAGAGCCCCACTCCCAACTGTTGAGGCAGGAGGTTTCTCCAATAAACGCTGCCTGTCTGTGTGGAAATTCTTGGATGTGAGACAAGAGCCAAGAACACCTTCATTGCCCTATTGCACTCCCAGGGACACTGTGGCTTCCTGGACTCACAGACATTAGTTCTCCATCTCCCAAATCCTCCCCCAACAGGGGACCCAGGGTCCTCCCGTGGGTGAGTCCTGGGTAACTGCAAACGCAAATGCAAGCATCTCTGGAAGGGGCTTCCATTTGTCTGTGAATCGGCTCAGCCTAGCAGCGTCCCAGCCGAAGGGAGAGCAGTTTCCTCCGCCAGCAGCAGGAAGAGGTGAGGCCCAGGGACTCCCGCCATGCACCTGGGGACTCTGGGAGAAGGTCTTCCGGAGCCGCTGGCCAGGGAGGACTTCTGAGACATCGTAGAGACACTTGAAGCAGATGTCATCCTCCGTCGCCGAGTCCTCATCATAGATGCTCAGCTCTAGAACATTCTAGGGACCCAGGACAGCAACGGAGCACGTCACCTTCCCACAGCACAGCAGCACGCCTCCGAGGGATGCTGGCTTGATGGCCAAAGTCAGAAAGGATGATGATGACCCCATGCCCGTCTACGTCAACATTAAAGTAACTACAAAACTTTCCAAACAAGTAGAAGGAAATCCAGCAAAACTTCTAGTTTCTCCCTCCCAATTTTTATGTTTATCAAAAATAGAATTTCGCTAAAGAATATGCTCTCTCTCTCTCCCTCCCTTAGGGAACTTTGCCAGTTCCCTAAGGCAAAGCTGAGCTGTGTAGGGTGCAGTGTCAGTACTCACCCCTGTATTGCCCCCTGGGACCCCGCAGCAGCCCAGCCAGGCGGGGACTCATTGGCTCCGCTCCTGGGCAGCTTGCCATGTGTGGGCGCTGTGGCCAGCTGGTATAAGGCCTGTGTTCACTGGACCTCACATTCCCTCGTGCACACAGCACATGCGGGCTGGGCAGTCACCCTCCTCCCCAATTTCTCCAGCTGAGCCCTGGAGGCAGTGGGCGCACCCCAGGAAGCCCCCACTGTGGGGGGTACAGCCTGTCTAGAGGTGAGCAGCCAGGGGCAGCCTGGCCTTTACCTTGACCTGTCTCTGGACTAGGAAACTGAAGGTCTCGTTCCACACAGGATGACTAGAGTTGGCGACTGTTCTGGTCCTGAGCTTCATTCCAGGTGCGGTTGGCAGCTGCAGGAGCACATAGGCGTCAGCCTCGCTCACTGCCAAAGAGAATCCTTTGTGGGGAAAGAACCACTCCCAGGCCTCTCCAGGGGCCTCACCAGACTCCTGCCAAGACCCTGGTGGCCATCAGGGTGGCCCAGACCAGTCCCAAGGCACTCATCTGGGCCTGTCCCATGGGACCAGTGCTCCCCCCACCCCCACCCCCGGGAACCCAGGAGCAGGGACTCACACAGGTCTGTCCGGCGCAGGCTCCGCGCCCTCAGCACTGTCACGGTGAGCCGCCAGCAGGCAGAGGTCTCCCCCTGAAAGAAACATCCAGTTCTAGGTCCCTCCTGCTGGGTCCCTCACCCAAATCCGGGCTGCTTACTCCACTTGTCCCTGGCTGCACCCTGATGGTCTCCTGACACCAGGCCTTCGGGGCTGGCCCCTGGGGACAGGTTGGCCCCCACGGGCCACACAGCCTTTGCTCACTGTTGTCCTTGGGGTCCTGGTTCTGGGCTGCAGCAATCAGGTACCAGCAAACCATCCAGGGTGAAATGGGTGGGACCCCTTTCCCTCAGGCACAGGATTGCAGGCGAAGAAAGTGAGGAGAATGAGGAAGTGGGCGCAGGACCCCAGGGAGGCTGGGCCCCAGAGCCCATGGTGCTGTGGTACCCACAGGCCTAGCCCTGCTGCTCTGCCCGAGGCGTGAGCTGAGCGACAGCAAAAGCGTCAGGCCCAACTGGCACAGCGGGTGCTGTGGGCGAAAGGTCCCTGTGGGTTAGGACGCTGGCGAGGCCAGGTGGCCCAGGCCAGGTGGGGCCACAGACAGCATGAGTCCAGCCCGGGGGTGTATCCCAGGGCTCCGGGGGGCCCTAAAGTCACCATTCTTTTTGGGGCCCAACTGTACGGCATTTTCTGGACCCCCTGCACTTGCTTCTTAAAACTGTCGGTGCGACCTGAGGTGTCCCCGGGTCCGGTAGGGCTAAGGGGTGATTTTTCCGGGGCTGGCCCCTTGAAAGGGAGCCCTTAGGGGTGGCCCTAGCAGGAAGAACCTAGGCCGGATTTGGTTTTGACCGACATGATCACTGAGCTGACTGATACGGCGACTCCTCTCTCCCGAGAGCGCCGGCACCGCATCTCCCTTTTTGAAAAATCCTCCTGTCTGCCCCAGGTGCCCAGCCCAGCAGCCTGCACGGTCCTGGGAGCACCTCCCTCTGCGCCCCGTCTGTGGAGAGGCCCAGGGCTTACATTTGCCAGGAAATTTTGGGAAAGGCTCAGTGCCGGCCCCAGGCCAGGGGAGGGGATGGGGCCCGAGGGATCTCGGTTGGGCTGAGCCCCAGACTGGGGTCCTGAGTCTCTGTGACCAAGATCCTGGGTCTTTGGCAGGAGAAGAGAGAAAGAGCAGCCTGCCCCTTCCCCAGTGACCCGCGGTGGGGGTGTGGGTGGAGAGGGGAGGAAGCTGTGGGTGCCACCTAGAGCCCTACTCCTCCCTGAGCCAGGCCGAGCTGATGTGCAGGAGCCACACTGTGGACACATCCCAAACAGTCCTGGGTGCCCAGCCTGCTGTGCCAGCCAGGCTCTTGCTACCAGGGCAGGCTCCAGGCTCCCAACCCCGCAGTCAGGAGGCTGGGCTCAGAAGGCAAGTGCTGAGGTTCACTTGCCAAGTTGAGAACCTGGCCCTGGGCACCTGCGCCTGGGAACATGAGCTGGCGGTGAGATGCTTCCCAAGTGTGGGGCAGACACAGGCTCCCCAGGCACTGAGCCTGTGCGGGACCCAGAGCAGGCAGATGGAGGAAGGGAAGGACGTGCAGCCCTCACCATGCCTAGGGCTGGAACGGGGGATACTTCAGAAACAACCACAGCTGGCTGTTCCGAGGCCCCCAGCTCCTGATGTGAGCTGTGATGGAGACCTCAGGATGTTTCCACAGGTGTCTGCCTCGGAGGTGGGTCCTCTCAACTCCAGGCTGGCTCAGGCTTGGATAGCAGGTGCAGGCCATCAGTGAGGACGGCTCCACTGTCCCTGCACTGTCCAGTGCATCCCAGGCAAGGCTCAGGCCTGGGTCCCTGGGCTGCAGCTCTGGAAGCTGGTGCAGGCTAAGAATGAGGCTGAAGACCTGGGGACAGCAGCCCCAGCACACTGAGCCTGTCTCACCTCCACCATCTGGGCACCAGGGGAGACCTCAGGGGCCAGTCTTCTAGCCTTGGTCTCCTGCAAAGGAGACGAGGTCTGGGCTGAGGAGAAGCTCATGGCAGGTGTGGGGCCAGCAGCTTGACGGCCTCCCTGGCTGGGCGCAGCCTCAGCTCCTGGGTCCAGCCACCAGTTAGCAGAGGGTGGGAACTTAGGTACATGGGGTGAGCCCTGGACCCAGCCAGTGCCAGGGAGCCCCCTGGCCTGTGGTGGGGGGCTGCAGGCCTGCCTAATCTCCCCTCAGATAGGCAGCCGCGATGTTCTCTGATGGGGGAGGAGGGAGGGCCCCTAAGGGTGCTGCTGCCTGCTCGCCGTGGGTGCCAGGGAGGCTCTGCTGCCCAGACTCACAGACCCGAGCCCCTGCTGCTCTTCCACACCACTCGCTCCATGTTCCCAAGCACAGGCTGCTCTTAGTCTCCACAGAGATCCCGGGTGTGGCACCCCAGCCCTCTCCAGAGACTAGAACCACCAGAACTTCAGCCCCTGGCACCCCAGCCCCCAGCGCTGACGGTGCCCACGGCCCAGCAGGCCCTGTTACCTGCTGAGGATGGCCTGGCGGTCCCTTAGGGGACAGGCTCTCCATGCCAACCTTTCCGGCTCCACTCCAGGCCTAGCCCCCGGCAACGTGCTGGCTCCTAGGCTGCTGGCAGCGACTGTCCCAGCGGGATGGGGCAGCTGTGAATGTGAGAGGCTCCTATAAACAGGCCAGGACTCCGCCCTCGGCTGGCTCTGTCAGCCCAGCACCTTCCCTGTTCCCTAAGAAGCTGGGTTAGGCAGCATCTGCAGAAACCCTGGCAAGGCTCCCAGCTCCACGGCAAGTGCCCCTTCCAGCCCTGGAGCACCAGGCAGCCCAGCCCCGCCTGAGCTGGGCTCAGCCTCAGACCAACGGGCAGCCAGACACCTGGGCGTCCGTGCAGCCCTGCGCTGGTGCCTCCTCCTCACCTGCCTGGCCCCCCACCCCAGCAGGCCCCAGACAGCTGCAGAAGGGTCTAGTGACGCCTGATCACGGCCACTCATACTCAGCTCCGCCCTCACACCCTCTGGTGGGGCTGGCCCTGGGAGTTGATAGTATTTTTATTGGAATCGAACAGCAGACTTTGTAGCAAAGATAAAAGCCCAGTCAGGAAACTCTCAGGTTCAGGAAACTGTAGAAGGAAACTTTGTGGGGCTGGGGCTGTGGCTTAGTGGGGTAAGCTTCCACCTACAGCGCTGACATCCCATATGGGTGCTAGTTCATGTCCCAGCTGCTCCTCTTCCGATCCAGCTTTCTGCTAATGCACCTGGGAAAGCAGTGGAAGATGGCTCAAGTGCTCAGGCCCCTGCACTCATGTGGGAGACCCAGAAGAAGCTCCCTGGCTCCTGGCTTTGGATCAGCTCAGCTCTGGCCATTGTGGCCATCTGGGGAGTGAACCAGCAGATGGAAGACCTCCCTCTCTCTGTCTGTAACTCTGCCTCTCAAATGAATAAATCTTTCAAAAAAAAAAGAAGAAGAAGAAGAAGAAGAAGAAGAAGAAGAAGAAGAAGAAGAAGAAGAAGAAGAAGAAGAAGAAGAAAAAGAAGGAAACTTTGTGAAGCCACCTAACTGCTCTCTTGGAATGGCAGGAACTCAGTCACTTTGCGTCAGTGCCTCCTATAACTGAATGGAAATAATTTGTCCTTCAAGGTAAGTGAAACCAAATGAACAGTAAATTATGACAAGTTTGTTATTACAGAATCAGCTGAAACAGAAAATTAAGGATGGTCCGTGAACAAGTGAAAATCCATTGAAAGGGAAGTACTTCTACTTTGCACGAGCAAGATGGACAATCCAAAGAGACATAAATGTAAAATGCAGGAATATTTTATTCCAAAGCGAGTCATAGGTGAAGCAATGGACAAAGTCCAGCTGGAAGGACCAAGTGTCTTCCAGAACTCCGGCGCTGGGAGCCAGGAGGAGCTGCACCTGGAGCTGCAGAGTGTGGCCGTCTTGGCTGCCTCAAGAGGAAATTGTGCCAGAAAGTGGAGCCAAGAATGACGCAGGCTGCCACCCTGGGCTGGCCCTGCCAGCTCTCACTGCGTGCCAGCAGAGGCGGGTTGGCGGCAGAGCGGACGATGCGGAAGCCGGGTCTCCCTCTGGGGTTTGCCCCTCCCAGGCTCTGAAAGGAGCCCCAGCATGGGTTCTCAGGATATGTTTAGCAAAGTTTGCAAAAACTAAACCACGTTGTTTTTTTTTTTTTAATTGATTTATTTATAAGTCAGAATTACAGAGAGAGAGGGAGAGAATGAAAGAGAGAGAGAGAGAGAGATCTTGCATCTTCTGGTTCACTCCCCAAATGGCCACAGTGGCTGGGGCTGGGCCAGGTGGAAGCCAGGAGCCAGGAGCTTCTTCCAGGTCTCCCACATGGGTGCAGGGGCCCAAGCACTTGGGCCGTCCTCCAATACTTTCCCAGGTGCATTAGCAGGAAACTGGATTGGAAATGGAGCAGCTGGGACTTAAACTGGTGCCCATATGGGATGCTGGCTTTACTCGCTACACCACAATGCTGGCCCATGGTTTCTTTTTTATGTCATTAGATTTGGGGTGTTCTGTTACATAGTCATACTGAGTAAATCAGAGCTTTTGGCAAATTTGCCTACAATCCTAAAAGCTTTCCATGATAGTATCAGTGAAGAGTTGAAAAGCGAAAAGAAACTACCAATATTTTTTTTAAACTCAACCAACCAGACTAGAGGAAAAATTACCACCCATTTGCACTAAAGAAAATGACATTACACATTATACATCTGGGGTTGACTAGAGAGAGTGTCTAGGAGTAGGCACCCAGACAGTGGAGGGGACAGTGGGGAAGGTGCCCCTCGCAGGCAATTATGACAAATATCATGACATTATGAAAATGCTGGTGATGTCTTGACATTTGTCAGCTTTTCAAAATTTGTATTTTTGGGAGCTTATTTTATTATTCTACATAAACAGTCACTTTTGTTCCTAATTTTGAATCAACTTATAAGACCTTCAGGCTCCATAGGACGTAGCCCTTGTGTCACACCATCCAAAGCACTGTCTATAGACGGCACCGTCCCCAAAGCCCTGGGAGGCATAGGCAGGTACCTGGGTATCCTCATGTTACCTGAGGCAGGAATTGGCTGGGGAACGTTCTGCCGGTCACCCTGGGAGTGCAGCCCAGAGGCAGTCCGCGTGACCACCTGCATGATGGTCTGCCCCAGAGGCAGTGCAGGCAGAGAGCCAGAGTCCCCGGATCAAGCCTTGCCTGACTAGAGGGAAGCTGCTTGGTCTGATTTTCAGTTGAGTCTCAGCATCTCCTCCCTTTAACTCTGGGAAAGACTGGTTCAGTCATGCCCCTTCCTCTCCCATCCCTCCCCTGGAATGGCACTCAGTGACGGTGCCGTGGAAGACAGGAGGCAGCTGACAGTGGTGGAGGAAGACACGGGGCTAATGCCCAGCTGAGTCTCAAACCCCAGCAAAAGTCCCGAAGCAGGAAGTGGCACAGCTGGCAAGATGTATGGTGTGGGGTAGGGATGATGCGCGCTCCAGCACTGGGCACCAATTACCCTGTCGAGAGCAAGGCATGGGTGGGTCTGTGCACTCGGCTCATGAGGAAGTGGTGACACTCTGCTGACAAGTGAAAAAGGACCATTTCCTGGCCAGGATTGCTCAGGACCAAGCTGGGAAGGCACCCCAAGCTTCTCCCCCACGCTCTGGGGCCAGTTGAAAGGATGAGTCTCCCTCTAAGCGAGGGGCAGGCTACCCCTCTGCCGATCTGTCTCTTCACCTGTCAAGTGCTCACCCAGCGTACCAGGCACTGGAGAGCCAGCCAGTGGAAACAGGCCTGACGCCCACTCGCAGAGCTCCAACCCGTGTACCATCCCCCTTCTACTCCATCTTGGCTGATGGAGCCCATCTGTGTTTTAGAACCTCAGTGTGCAGGCTCTGGAGTGGGATGGGTATACTTTCCAAAGCAGAGCCCCTGGAATCTCAGGGAACAGCGTGGAGGAGCTGTAAACAAACGTCACCCAGCTAATTATGTCTGCGTGGAGCCGAGGGCAGCAGGTACGTGATCTTCCGGGTGAGTCAGGAAGCGGAGTGTGTCTCAAGAGCTCCTGACGTGCCTGGGCCAGCCTGCCCCCTACTCCCACGCCTCTCCCCGATGGCTCTCCCAGCCCTGGGAGCTGTCCCCACCCTCGCTCCACCCCAGTGTTTTTCTCTCCTTGATCTTTCCGCAAACCTTCCACACATCAGAAACTTATGTAATTTAAACATCTTTTGTTTTTATATTCAGTCTCCTAATTTTAAAACATAGAGCTTTTTATACACGTTGAAAACATAAGCCAAGCCAAGCCGCGGCTCAGTAGGCTAATCCTCCGCCTTGCGGCGCCGGCACACCGGGTTCTAGTCCTGGTCGGGGCGCTGGATTCTGTCCCGGTTGCCCCTCTTCCAGGCCAGCTCTCTGCTGTGGCCAGGGAGTGCAGTGGAGGATGGCCCATGTGCTTGGGCCCTGCACCCCATGGGAGACCAGGAGAAGCACCTGGCTCCTGTCATCGGATCAGCGTGGTGTGCCGGCCGCAGCGCGCCAGCCGTGACGGCCATTGGAGGGTGAACCAACGGCAAAGGAAGACCTTTCTCTCTGTCTCTCTCTCTCACTATCCACTCTGCCTGTTAAAAAAAAAAAAAGTGTCAGAGAGAGAGAGAGAGAGACAGAGAGACAGAGATCTTCCACTGGCTGGTTCACTCCCCAGATGGCCTCAGTGACTGGAGCCAGGCTGATCTGAAGCCAGGAACCTAGAACTCCATCCAGGTCACCCATGTAGGTGCAGGAGCATAAGAACTTGGGCCATCTGCTGCTGCTTTCCCAGGGCATAGCAGAGAGCTGAATGGGAAGGTGTCCCAGGTGGTGCTGTATCTTAAAAGATTGCAACCTCTACAAAAAGATGCTAAATAGATCTCATTAAGAAGATATCCTAGGGCTAGTGTTGTGGTGCAGCAGGTAAAGCCGCCGCCTGCAACACCAGCACGTTCCATGTAGGCACCTGTTCAAGTCCCAGGTGCTGCACTTCCACCCATGTGGGAGACCCAGAGGAAGCTCCTGGCTCCTGGCTCCAGCCCGGCCCAGTTCCACCCTTTGCAGCCATTTGGGGAATGAACCACTAGATAGGAGATCTCTCTCTGTCTCTCTCTCTCTGTAACTCTGACTTTCAGATAAAAAAATAAATAAATCTTTAAAAAGAAAAAAAAAAAGATCTAGCTGTGTGTTTTTGGTTCAAAGAAAGCACTTGCTCTCTTGGACTGGAGAGTTATCTCATGAACATAGCACCTTCTGTTTGGAGTTGTCTTAACTAACTGCAGTACTGCTGCATTTGTAGTCCAGGTATTCAAGAAATATTGAACTAGAGTATGCATTGTTCTTGCAATAGAAATGTTGCCTTGGTGATTATAACTATTCATTTCCTTAAAGATTAAGGAACTATAGAGAAGTGTCTTTTAGGCAGAATGTACCTCGGTGTGGTTGAAAAGTAGTATAGTGGCTGGCACTATGGCATAGCAGGTTAAGTTGCCGCCTGGGACACTGGCATCCCATTTGGGCACAGGTTCAAGTCCCAGTCCTATACAGCTCCCTGCTAATGTGCCTGAGAAAGCAGCAGAAGATGGTCCAAGTACTTGGGCCCCTGCACCTATGTGGGGATATGGATGAAGGCTCCAGGCTCCTGGCTTCAGCCTGGCACAGCCCTGGCTATTGCAGTCCTTTGGGGAGTGAACCAGCAGATGGAAAATCAATCAATCAATCAATCAATCTCTGTGTAACTCTGCCTTTCAAATAGTCTTTTTTTAAAATGCAGTTACATCGCTTCTCAGCCTTTTGGCCAAGATCAAGTGTAAAAATGTGGTTACAGTGCCTGCCTCTGTGCAGGGCGGAATTGTATTCAGCAGGTATTTTCAGCAT